TCCCTGGACCGCCCACTACTCGCACAGCGTAATTTATGTGGTTCTCATCACCCACTGTGTTTGGCAGGCCACACACCGCACAATGATGAAAGTGGCTTTTCTCTCCCTGCACACAGTAGCTAACATAAGTCAAAACAAAAAGAGGGGTTCTTGGATGTTACTTAGGGGTCACTGGTTGGCCGGAAACCTGCTAACTGACCTTTAGGAAATTTGTGTAAAGAAAAAAAAAAACTTTCCTAATACACACAGAAAAACCCCTTTTCAACCTGAAAAACCGTTAAAAAGGACAAAGTGGAACCTTATGGAAAACACGGAACGTTTCACAGTAAAAACAATTACACCGAGGTAAAACCGAAAAACTGCGCCAAAAGTAACCTTGTTGCTGACGCAAAAATCACTCATACCAGCACCGCTAAACGATCTGCGTTACACACGCAATCTTCTCTGCAACCACCTAAAACCGTTTACACAAAAAGTCTGCTGGATGCGAAACACGCAACGCAGCAGCTTTAAAACAAACCCGCTTTACAATAAGGAACTACTTTTAACAGGAAAAACACAAGAAAAACACATAATCACTATACAAGAAATCTATGTGCAAAAACCCAGACTTCACCACGCTCACTAAATGTGGAACACGTGAGGGAAAAACTCGCTTAACACACTTTAAATTGGCTGGCAATACGCAAATTTAAAGCTAAAAGCAAACAAATTAAACTGTAAAACATTTGGATTAAAAACCACAAAATGGGTCAAATACATATAGGAAACTTCATGCACATTGCATAGAGATCATTGAAACTCAAAGCGAAACTTGGAAAAAAGGAATGGTGGAGAAGCCACATGGCAGTCACAACTGGTTGCCAAACAAAGCAGAACATGTGGTTAGTCAAGAAAATGGCCCCCCACAGGGAAGCACATGGTAGCAGACACTAAAGTGGCCCCCCACACAGAGAAGCACATGGTAGCAGACACTAGCCTCAAAATTGCCTCTAACCTCTTACATAAATAAAACAGACTTTTGGACAGAACATACACTGGACAATTACACAACAATATGAAGTACACATACAACACAATTTGGTATAATCACAGAACAGACATAAAACACAAACATATCACACTAACATGCACATGTAACAGAAAGGACCCCCTGCTGCATGCTTGCTGGGAGCAGTAGTACCACAAAACATTGCACAGACTACATACACACAAAAGGTCTTACAACAGTTAACAATTAACCTAAACCTTTCAGCACTGTAATAATTACCTCACGTGGAGGGGGGTAAAGCAATCACCACAGTACCTACAACCCGCAAATACTTACCTAACACTATGCAACAACTTTTACCCGCTAAAACATATACCCGTTTAATTTTTGGTTGGAAGATTTTTAAACTTGACCAAATCCAGCCAACCAAACCCACCCCTCTGCTGCTCTCAGCAGAGAAAACCCTCGTCTCGTCTTTCACCCACAGATCAAGATTTTAGGACAAAAAGGTCCTTGCTAAGCGGTAATTCTTGTTAGCTAACAGAGAGCGAAATCAGCCACACGAACGCGCAAAAAAAGCGATCCTCTTAATGGCAGAGAGACCTGAAATGTGCCGGCATACTTTTTGCTAGTTCATGATGGCTCATTCCCCCCTCGTGCTTGGTTAGCTATCCCAGAATACGTGTTAGTATCCACCAGGCTCGCCAAACTGTCTTGGAAATTCGCTTTAAACGAATTTCTCCTTACCGTGAGTACTCGCAGTTGGATGCGCAGAAATCCCCCATAAAGCTGTGCGAATCTTGCTTACCACGACTGCACTGCAGCTAAACTACACGATTCCTGCCCATCCAAATGGGTTAGCTCTGTTGAAATGTGGGGGGTGGAGCTCCATTACCCTAGAATGATCACACGACACTCTAAGGCTAGTTTTGCAATTCACATAAGGGCCGGTTTCAGACTCAGCCCCCCGGTTTTATTACAAGCAGACACGCCCCCCACATGAATAAAGTCAATCCCCCCCCACCGAACAATGCAATGGGGAGTGCCTATACACGGGATATACATTCCGATTGGAGCATAGCCTTTCCTATTATCTATCACTGGTCCTCCCCCATGAGCCTTCTGAGGTCAGCAAACTTCCTCCCCCCCCCCCCCCATGAGCCTTCTGAGGTCAGCAAACTTCCTGTCCTACTAGCTCCTATTGGTATGTAAATTCTTTGTACAAGCATTCCCTAAGCTAAACACCAGTCTGTACCTGGATGGGCCCGATACGATCTTTATTAAAACACATCCATCCAAGATACAGTTCAGATTGGTAATGGGTTGTAAGATATGCATAAGCCTACACGTGGAGTTCACACCACTTGGCGCCTTGCGTTATGAAGTCCATGTGGTACTATGCTGCTGATATGTGGATACAGGCCGCGGTCTACCGCCAGCGGCATTGGCATCGAATGCCATGGTGGTATACACGCCGGTCTATAAGCGCAGATCTGCCATCTCATCCATTACCGAGCTGAGTACTGTAATACATACATTGTACATGCGCATGGCCCAATTGCAGCCTTCAGAGCTTTAATTAAGCCACACGAGAGACATATGAATAACACGAATATATGACACATTTAAAGTTCGACCAACAATACAAAATTTCCATGACAGTTGGAGCACAGGTTGTCAGAAGGTATGAACAGTCCCAAAAGATATGTCATGGAGTACACGCAGAAGAACCACATCTCCAGCAGCGATCACTTTGTTCAGGGTACAATTTGGCCTGTACCAATGAGTCACTGTTTTAGAAGTGGTCTCCTGGTATTTGTTGCACAGGGAGGATTTATGTGCAAAAAAGAGTATTTGTTCCTTTTGGGAGTCAGAGAAAGTGACCAGTAAGTCTCCTTCCCAATTAGCCAAGAAGGGGGGATTAGACAGAGTGTGAAGCTCTAGAAGGTATTTGTAAGAAGTAGAGAGAGATCCTTGATGATTTGGGCCTTCTCCCAGGCACAGCTCCTCGAATGCATACAATTTTCTAGGAAAAAGTTAGTGTTTAGGTAGAGATTGCAGGAAATGAGATAGTTGGAGGGCTCTCCAATAATCCATAGAAGTAGACAGATTGGGGAACAAAGTGCGTTGTGCGGGCCATCCACTGGGGCATAAAAAGTGAGAAGCACACAGTAGACCCAGAGGCGACATGGAGCAGAAGTTCGAGTCAGTGAGTCTGGGCAGAAATCCTGAGTGGCCTATTATTGGTGTTATGGGGGAGAGGAAGCTCTCCAAGGATGCCAATGTGAAAATTCAGTCCATTTCAGCCAGCACAGGACCTATTAGCTGGTGAGTGGTAAGGGTGGCATACGTGTTGCTTTCCTGCTCATGGCAGTCTTGCAAGCCGAGCCCCAGCCGCATCCTGTTCCCATGTGATCCATAGTTTGTAAGTCTGGTTTCTACACCAGTCTACTACTCTGGTCATTTGAACTGCTGTATAGTATAGCGCTGGGTCCGGCAAGCCCAGGCCGCCTCTCAGTTTGTGCCTAAGTAATACATTTCTACTGAGACATGCGTGTTTACCATGCCAGACAAACTGAGTGAAGCAGAGCGCACAGAGTGGAACAAAGCTTGTGGAAGTTTAACTGATAGGGCCTGCAGTAAGTATTAACAACATGGGCATAACATTCATTTTCAGTACATTACAACGGCCAAACCACGATAAGGCAAGGGAATCCCATTTCTTTAGATCAGCAGATAAAGCAGTCAGAAGCAGTTTGAAGTTCAGGGAATAGACTGTGTCTAGATGCGAAAAGGATTTTGGTTTCCAAGTTTTGTATAGACTGTGTGGCCCATTTAAATGGAAAGTAAAGGCAAAGTCTTTCAATCACTAAGGCAGGAAGGGACACATTCAAAGCTTCTGACTTTTGAAGGTTGACTTTAAAATTGGAGAGTGAGCCATACCTTTTCAATTCCAAAAGTAGGAAAGGTAAGGAAGTAAGGGGGTATGTAACATAAAAGAGCAGGCCGTCGGCATAGGTGCCACCTTATGATGGTAGTCACTCGCGAGCACACCCTGAATAGAACTGTTGTGTCTAATGCGTTGAAGGAATGGTTCCAATGAACAATAGGGCGACAGTGGGCAGCCTTGTCTAGTTTCGTTGGATATTATAAATGGTTCTGAGTCAAGACCATTTACTCGGACAGTAGCAGAAAGGTTAGAATATAAATGCGGAAACCCAAGATATTGGAGTCTGTATTCTCATCTGTCGCAAAGTCTCAAAAAGGAAACTCCAATTTACCCTGTAAAATGTTTTTTCAGCATCAGTGGACAGGAGTAAAAGAGTGGTGTGTGATCTCCGTACCCTGGCGATGATATTAATTGTCCATATGGTGTTATCCCAGGCTTCTTGTGTTGGGATAAAACCCACCTGGTCTAATGAAGTGGTATGTGATAACAAAGGGATCAATCGCATGGCAATTATTTTGGTGAAAAGCTTCACATCACATTCAATTCAGGATGAAATAGGTCTGTAACTACTGCATAGTAGCGGATCCTTACCCGGTTTGGGAATAACAGATATGCAAGCATGCAAATCTGGTGGGACATCTTTACCGTCTGTGATGAAAATGAATGCTCGCAACACAGGGTGGTTACTGTGGGGGCAAAATAAGAGTTCTATAGTGCCTCATCCTAACATTAGCTGAATGTAGATTGGACTAAAACCATGGACTTTATAGGCACTATAACAATAATTCATAAAATTCAATGCTTTATTGAACATGTACATATAAAATCACTTACAGAATATAACCTAACCCTGTACCATATGAGGTATATCAATGCAGATTCAAATATTATTAGTAGACCCCACAACATCATAGATATGCCATGTCTCGTCAATAACTCCCATATAGTCCAATGACGGGCGCAAGGTGGTTCTCTCTCGTTCTGGGAGGATGTCATATGACGTCCTCCCATTCTCACAGTGCATGCACGGCTCAGGGAGCACGCACCGCGGCGTTCGGCGGTGCACTGTGTCCCTCGGATACAACGGATCACCAATCCACGGAAAGAGCCGAAGATGTCGGCTCAGTCATGTGATCAGCTGTGTCCAATCACAGCTGATCACATGTAAACAGGGAAATGCCGGTTATCAGCATTTCTCTCCTCTCGAGCTGTCACACTGACAGCTCGAGAGGAGAGCCGGTAATCAGCATTCCGCGGAGGGAACATGTACACTGATCATCAGGGCATTGATGATCAGTGTGCCCTGATGATCAGTGTGGCCCCAGAAGTGCCACCTGTCAGTGTCCATCAGTGCCAGCTGTCAGTGCTGAACAGTGCCACGCGCCAGTGCCCATCAGTGCCACATATCAGTGCCCATCTGAGCTGCCTTTCAGTGTCACCCATCAATGCCAATCAGTGCCACCTATCAGTGCCAGTCAGTGCCGCCTATCAGTGTGCATCAGTGCCACCTAACAGTGCCATATATCAGTGCTGCCTTTCAGTGCCCATCAGTGATGCCTGTCAATGCCCATCAGTGCCACCTATCAGTGTCCATCAGTGCCAGCTGTCAGTGCTGAACAGTGCCACGTGCCAGTGCCCATCAGTGCCACATATCAGTGCCCATCTGAGCTGCCTTCAGTGTCACCTATCAGTGCCAGTCAGTGCCGCCTATCAGTGTGCATCAGTGCCGCCTATCAGTGCCACCTAACAGTGCCAGTCAGTGACGCCTAACAGTGCCATATATCAGTGCTGCCTTTCAGTGCCCATCAGTGATGCCTGTCAATGCCAATCAGTGCCACCTACCAGTGCCTCCTCATCAGTGCCCATCAGTGCCACCTATCAGTGTCCATCAGTGCAGCCTGTCAGTGCCCATCACTGCAGCCTCATTAGCGCACATCAGTGGAGAAAAATCACTTATTTACAAAATTTTATAACAAAAACTTAGAAAAAACTTTTTTTCAAACTTTTTACTGGTTTTTGGTTTAAGAAAAAATAAAAAAAAAACCCAGAGGTGATTAAATACCACCAAAATAAAGCTCTGTCCCAAAAAATTGATAAAAATGTAATATGGGTAGTGTTGCATGAGCGCGCAATTGTCATTCAAAGTGTGACAGCGATGAGAGCTGGAAATTGGCCTGGGCCGGAAGGGGGTATAAGTGCCCTGTAGGCTAGTGGTTAATATAGTGATGATGGCTCAACATGTTGCACGATATTGCTTCTTCAGGAGCTATGAGAAGATTTCTAGATAAAAGAATAAAGTAACATTGATAAACACACATATATTGCTCCCCTCCATTCTCTATGTGCAGATGTATGTATATAGACTTATTGTATCTGTTCTACTACCATTTTGTATTGACATGTGTATGCTATATTTATTTTATGTAGGATATATGTGTGTTTATCAGTCTGCATTGATTTCCTCATATGTTACAGGGTTAGGTTATATTCTGTAAGTGATTTTATATGTGTACATGCTCAATAAAGCATTGAATTTTATTAATTATCGTTGTATTGCCTGTGAAGTCCATGATTTTCATCCAATCTACAAATTTATTCTCTGTAATAGTGTTAAAGGCTGTTGTAAAATGGGGTGCTAGTATTGTCTGGTAGGTTTTGCAGTAGGCCACAGTGAAGCTATCTGGTTGCGGGGCCTTTCCAGGTTGGGTAGAGGCTATGGCTGCAGTGAATTCCTCCACTGAAATAGATTGGGGTACAGTGTCTCTTTCCTCGTCAGTAAGTATGGGAAGGTTCACTTCTAGATGACAGGGCGGATACATAGGTTCGAGACCGTTTGGCCGTAGGGCATTGGCCACCAAGCAGCCGCATTTGTCACCAAACTCATAGAAGGAGCAGCGGGCCTTCGATAAGACATGTTTCGCTTCATAAATAGGTTATAATAGGTCAGTTTCAACCATACGATCCATCCCTGTTTTGTGTTTGAGTTCCAGGACATGGAGCCGGGTCAGGAGACAGACAATGTTTTCGCAGACAGACAAAATCACTTGATCCTCTGAAGAATGATCCTGAGTTTGATAAACATAATGATTTTCTTAGAAAAGAGATAGAAAAAATACAAAAAAATCTGAAATTTACGAAACAACAAAAATTTAGAAGAGATTTAGAGGACTGGGAGAAAGGTGAGATATTTGACTTAACTAATAGTAGAGGAAGGAGTCGATCAAAACGTAAAAAACATTTTTCTAGGAACAATAGAGGATATTCATCAATGAGTGAGGATGATGATGAAAGTAATAAGAGATCTGTCAGTTTTTTAGAGGAAAAAACAGATGGCGAGAACCATGGAATATTAAAACACAAACAAACAAACAAATGAATGGGACAAAGGAAGAAAGAAACACCCCAATTGCTCTCAAACCATCCAATCAAAATCGAACCAGAAGTCACAAGAGATAAAGACTAACCAAGAGGGGGGAACGAATGACCTTAAGGTAATAAATCTTTCCAACTTTGTATTGAAAAAAAAGACACTATGATTTACTGCGGAAAGGTCTAACTTTTTCTCCTACGGATAAAATGGACCTGTTTGAGGTCTATAAAGACTTAAACCTGTTTCTGAGAAAGATCCTTTTAAGAATTCCATATGTATCTAGAGAAGAACAAAATCCCTGTGATCTGAATTCAGAGAGGGAACAACAGGCATTAAGAGATCTTATTAGTCTCCTTGAGGAGACTCCCACAGACAGTGAATTTGGGGAGGGGGATGTTTCTAACAAATGGAAAAGACACACTAGACTTAAAACTCCTTCTAGAAGAATGCCCAATATCAGGGAAAATAAATGGCTAAGTACTTTTTTAGATCTAGTACATGATGATCTTGGAAAAATAGACTGGACAATGAGGAATGTTGATAACCTCACTAGGGGTGAAAGAATAGCCCTTAGGGAACTTAAAAAATGCTAAAAACATTGTGATTAAAAAGAGTGATAAAGGGGGGAATGTAGTACTACTAGAGAGTGTGGAATATGAGAAGGAGGTGCTTAGACAGCTGAAGAGTCTGGATACATATCGCAAACTACATAACAACCCGTTCCCAAAACTTGTGGTTGATCTAAATAAAAAAGTGGGATTGGCACGTGAAGCAAACTTATTAACCAAACGGGAATGTGATATGCTGACAGTTGATACATATAATATTCCCACCTTCTATGTAATCCCAAAAATACATAAAAATCCCTCTCAACCACCGGGACGCCCTATAGTATCTGCTATTGGTGGGCCCCCCTGGAACCAATAGGTAAATTTGTAGACGACTTAATCAAGGATCTGGTCTTGGAACTCAGATCTTACGTAAGGGATACGGGGGATGTACTTAAAAAGATTCTAAATGTAAAAGTACCAGAAGGTGCACTCCTGGTGGGCATTGATGTGGAATCATTGTATACCTCCATCCCACACGCTTGGGGACAGAAAGCGGTGGCCCATTTTCTGGAGATATACTTTCCTGAAATGGAGGCTCAAAATGAATTTATATTGGATTGCTTGAGTTTATGCTGACCCATAACTGTTTTCAGTTTCTGGGCTTCTTCTATCAGCAAATATGTGGTACCTCCATGGGAGCACCTGGGCCCCGGCATTCGCATGTTTACATCTAGGTTTGTGGGAAGAGGAGCTAGTATATCCCTCCACTCCCTATGAACAATATGCAATAACCTGGTTGCGATACATTGATGATGTCCTAATGGTATGGGATGGAGGTATGGATGAGCTTAAAAGCTTTATGGAATTTTGAACAAGAATGATAGAAATATCAAACTCACTTACACAGTGGATAGAGAGGTGATAACTTTTTTGGATTTGTCAATCTCTGTCCACGAAAATGAACTGGTCACTAAAACATTTAGAAAGGAAACAGCGGCCAATACACTTCTACATGCTAATAGCTATCACCCAAGGAGTTTAAAACAGGGAATTCCTATTGGTCATTCCAGAGAATAAAAAGAAATTGTACAGAAGAATTAGAATATAGACATGAATCTATCCAGCTCTATAAAAAGGTTCAGAGAGAGGGGCTATTCACATAGAACCCTAAGAAGAGCAAAAAGAAGAGCCCTCGGTAAAACAAGAGAGGAACTAATTAATAAATCAAAACCAAAGGCAGCTGCGAATACTGAAAACCAACCGGTAAGATTCATAACTAAATTTGGACAACAATGGGATGAAACTCAAGAAGGCCCTGGACTCCCATTGGCATTTACTAACTCAAAATCCGCAGATAGCGAGAGTGGTAGGAGAGAGCCCCCATATGGTGGCAAAACGAACTCGGAATCTAAATGATATATAAGTACAATCAGAATTTCAGAGGGCACCACAAAGAAACTGGCTAACTAGGAAGACTGGCGTATATGGTATGTTTCCATGTGGTCATTGTCAGATTTGTCCATTTGTACATAAGTCCAATCAGTTCTTCAACAATGATAACTCTAGGATATTTCAAATACGAAGCTTCATTAATTGTTCTAGTAGTAAAATGATATACATGATAGAATGTCCATGTAAAAAGATATATATAGGTAAAACAAAAAGAAGCCTTAGGACTAGGATCGGTGAACATCTGAGAGACATTAGAAATGAAAATAGAAATGTAAGAAAGGGAGAAAAAGAGAACCCACTGGCGCAACACTTTAAAGAAGTACACGGGGGCAAAACAGATGGTCTAAAAGTAAAAGGGATCATTCTGCTGAATATTTCGGCTCGTCGGGGTGACTTTGACAAAGTCCTCCTACAAAAAGAAAAATTCTGGATTTATACCCTAGGGGCACTTGTCCCATCTGGAATAAATACAGAACTCAACTTTGGGGTATTTTTGAAATGAATTCCCTTGAACTCTTTATATACCCTGAGTTATAATCTACATTGCGATATCATATATATGAATTAAATATGGGCCTCTGGGGACAAAATATGAATCTAACTATGCAATCTTCTCTACTCCTATTGGGGTGGTGAGCATATAGAATAATAGGATTGATTTTGAAATTCTGGTAGCTGGACCTGGTTTTGATGTTTCCCTATGTGAACATAAAATATGCTAATAATAATCTCCTCTTTATTATCCTCTTGGAAGATGACTTGATCCACAGTAATTAGGCTCCTCTTCTACATCCAACAATCATTTTAAAATTCAAGATATATATGTTTTAATCCACTTTGGATATTCCCAATGTAGTGATATTCTTTCAACACAAGATGGCGAGGTGGAGACTTTTTGGTATGCAATTAGTGCACCATATAAGGCAAAGGATTGAAGTCCCCTCCCAGTTCTGACGAAGTCTGCGGTGATTGGCGGACGAAACGCATCAACGTATTGACGTCACTACGCTCGGCGTCTTCACTGGGTGCGGCGCCCACGAGGCGGGAAGGAACGGCGGTGTCACAGCTCCCTGCTAGGTAGGCCCAAGACCCTCTGAGAACTACCAGTGGGCTATTATCACAGCGGTTCGCAAACGGCAATCCCTCAGGGAAACATACCTTTCCACCGGTGGCAAGTTATTTAAAGCTTACGGCTGTTGAGATTTACAGAGCCTACATGGTGTT